CTGTCACACATAGCTGTTGTACATCTTGGATATTAGTGATTTAATGTGTGTCAGGTTCGTAAGTTTTCTGGAACCATCAAATACCACATTTTCAGGAGAAAGATTTGTTGGTTTCAATGTAAAAATCATCAAGCCTGGGTGTAATTGATCAGAGAGAAGACAGATGTCAGAAGTAAACTAACAACATACATTAACAAATTATTGGAATATCATAAAAACGGAGATGTCAAAGATTGAAGTGGGTACACAGGGATTAATGACAGTGATCCTATTATTGATGGTGATTCTAATCACTTATCGGGCGCAGTTATTGCGGCTGAAATACGGTAAGATATGGGGAATTACGTGGTTATCAGGCTTTCGTCAGGATCTGCTTAATAGCAGAGCCATTGTGGTTCGTGACACCTTTTGAGACAAACAAGTTGAGTAATCATGGATGGGACAGATGAAACACAAGTAAACACCCTACCTACTTACTTACTGACGCCTTTTACTCCTTTTAGGGGAGCATAGGCCTCTAACCATTATTCTCCATCCAACCTATGCAATCCTTTTCATGTTTGCTTCCGATTACGGACGTGGTGTCTTCTTCGGTCTTATTCTTTTCCGTTTCCCTTCAAGATTCCAAGTTCGTTTTTGCTTCATGATGCAGGTTGGTGATTTTTTTAATAAATCTCCTGTTCAACTGCATTTTCTTTTCATAATTTCCTCCTCAACTGGAACTTGATTTGCTGATGGTTTCCGGCCAACAAAAATTTAGTATCTTGCACAGTCAACTGCTTATAGAGACCTGTACGTTTTTGATGATGGTTGTGACAGTTCTTCAAGTTTCGGCTCTGTACAGTAGGACTGTCTTAACGTTCATGTTGAAGATCCAGACTTTGATATTGGCTGATAGTTATTTTGAGTTCTATGTGTTCCTCAACTGTAGGAATGCTATCCTTGCTTTGTTAATCCTTTCTTTTATGTCTGTGCCGAAGCCTCCTTGTTTTTTAATAATGCCGTGCAGCTATGTGAAAGATTCCACTCCTTCCAGAGTTTACCTATCGAGTGTGATTGGTTTAGAAGTAAACCTTTAGTTTTCAATCAAAATTCTGAGTGATGACTCAAGATCACGTTTTACGTTAAGTCTTGTAGGAATTCGAAGTACTATAACGAAATATTAATTATATAAGCAAATCTTAAACATCGATTGATTATACACCATATCTGCCACACGTTGCTTGTCCGTTTGTTTCTGTAATATTGTTTGGGTCTACTTCAACTGCACTAGCACCTCTCAGGTGTTTAGCATTCGGATTTTTTCGTCGGTCTGAAGTTCAGGGCCGTCTATAAAGTCATTAACAAGGGAATCGTTGGAATTCGACTGACGATCTCGTGAAGCTGTAAAGAAATGTAAGCATGCAACATCAGTAAGCCGTATGTCCAACTCTTTCTGTTACGTGAATTCCATTATGCGTTACCGATGCTGGTGATCAGTTATAATATAGAATGTTACACCAAACAACTATTTGTGCAGTCGTTTTGGTATAAAGACATACTTGCTCTGTTTTATCTAAATGTCTCGAAATAAAACAACAGGTTTGCCATTCTGCTCTGAAACACCACCTGACACCAGTGAATGTTTATCACTAGTGAAGATAATTTTTCCAGCTGTCGTTTAAGGTCTGAAAAAGCAACGCTATTCAAAAACTATTTCATGTCGTATCCTCACGTTGTTATTCTCGTCGAGACTGTTTACCAGAAATCAAGTCAAAACACGGAGATAACAATTGTATAAAGCTAGGAGTAAACGTGGAATAAAATTGAAGAGCAACAATTCATAACCTGAGTGCAGAGATATTCGTAGGTGGCGTTGCTTGAATCGATAGAGCTAGATGACTAATATGAGATTTACAACCCTTAGTATCTACGGCATAGTCAAGACAATTGATGGAATTAGTTTGAAACTGACACATTCACGGCCATAGTTGTGTCACGAAAGCGTCTGATCAACCTTAAAAAACGTTCATTATGGATCTTAATATTATTAGCATGAACTGCGATATCAAGCTGATACGATTCAACACCATCAAGGCCGGTGATAATCTGATATGCAAGCTTCTGAAATATCACAGACGAGCGTTTGATGCGAACGGTAAGGATTTGTGTCTGAACACACCGAATGATGTTTTAATAGTCGTTAGTTCACCAAATATTCTTTCTAGTTTAATTTGCAAATACTCATGTTTCAGGTCTATTTTAGAAAAATAACTTGACCCTCATAATTTATATGGGGCATCTCTAGTTTCTTCAGTGACACAGCTCTGTTGCGATAGCGGAAGAGTTTGTGTCCGGCGATAGTCACTACAACTTGCAGATGTTTTTCCATCCGCCTTTAAATGAGTCACAATGAGGTTAGCCCGGTTTACTCCAGTTGGCCAACCAGACGGCTCAAATAGATTTTTTAACCCTTTATCGACTCATTCCACTTAACTCGATCTTCAAACTCCCCCTAAACGATAGCGAAATTGGTCATTGCTCCAAGAAGATAGGTATCCTCTTTACCTCTAAGTGTGTTAGTTGAATTTTGAAACCTCCCACAGATTTTTAGAAATTGAAGTGATTACCCAGCTCTCTATCTCAGTCTTCCGGAACGAAAATGTTCATTGCTACACTAAAATCCAAGACTTACCAGATATTTCGCATTACATATAGATTTTATAATGTGAAACTCTCTCAGAAGACTGGGATTATCATTGGAGTAAATCTCTCGATCAGATGAGTGTAAACATTTTGTTTATTAAGTGTCTATTTAACAAAAACTGCCTTATTAACAGTATTGGCTCAATTGATTGATAAATCAAGAATTTTTCTTTACCAATCTCATCGCTACTCTTTTCTATCTTGTACATTGCTCAATTTCAGAAATTGTGCGCCGTCTCGACGTTTGAATTTCACTGTTTTTGGTTACTCAGTAACAAGTGACTTGTTACTTCAAAAATGGATGGTTATCCTTGAGACTAAACTGAACAAAATTTTAGTGAGAGGATCACTTAATACTAGTACTGTGTGGGTAAGATATCTTGGTTGCATGCTAGTACATGAAAAAACGAGTTGTATTAAGTCACTGAAATTTCTCATTTGAATTAGCCTTAACGTTTTTTTCGTGCACAACCACGGCCATCACATCTTGAGTCACTGAGCTACGAAATGTTAGAAAATCTTTAAAAATCAACCTTTCATTGGGGCGTTAGAAGTGCATTATTTTTAATAACAAGAATTGCTTTTGTTGGTACACCACTTCGTCTTTCAAACAGTTGAATTTTTATGTTAACTACGGTAAGTCTGTATACAAGGTACAAATCCGAACCATCATATATCTGATAAGTATTGTGTAGTCTGTAGTGATGTAGTGTTGCATTAAAAACAACTAATTCAATAGATTCTCTGCGGTAACATTTTTAATTGTGCAACCCTTCTCTATCTACCTTTACGCATGTCATTATAAAATGTATACACTCCAAATATAAATTTGTATGTCCCACTAGTTAAATCAAGAATCTCACTACTAAGGACAAGTCACACCACGCAAACGTTCAGACGAAAGGGAAGATATGAAATATGGAGAGGTCGAAATAAAAGCATCATTAGTAGTGGGAACGAGACAGAATATAGCCAGAACTAAAATAATTACACCAAGGGGAAATTACGAGTAGGCATTACTGCGACCAAAATACTGCTGTGTACCAAAATATAGACCAACGGATAGTTACTATGTTGGGATAAAAAAGCCCGGATTAGTATTAATTGTGAATCTGGGAGCCTAAAAGACAGTTATGTGAATCGCATTAAGAGAAATCTTTAGGACAAGTTCCTGTGGTCAATGTATATTTTTAATATGGACACAAAACCTCATTTGGGAGGAGCTGTGATTTGTTTAGTTACGACCTTTTCTAGCCTCACTTCACGTACGAGTAGGCGGCATAGCTCGTAGTGTTGGCTCCGTGAGGATCATTTAATTATCGTTTAAGCAAGGTAGTCAGCAATATGTTTATTCTGATATGAGTTATTTTATCTCCAACTTTACCGTTTTTCGTTTTACCCGTCAGGCATAGTAAAATATCAAGTTATTTTTTAAAACGTGGTTATAATAGGCTGTCATAATGATTGCATCAAAAAGGCAGCTACGGTTGGTACGATGTTTAAAGCCACTGGTGATACTCATTTTCTAATTCAGGAAGCTTGCTATGCATCACAGGTTTCGGTATCGTGTATCCAGTCCCTTTAGTATTCATATCAGTCATCTCTATGAACAATGAAAAATTGGTCCGTTTTTTAACTTAGTGATCCTAATTGACTTCTAAATACTGAATAGATGTGTAATGCAAAACGAAGGGCACTAGTAGCTGAATAAATTCACAAAAAGCTAGGTACGATCTAGTTTTTCAACTTGAAACGTCTTATGGTTTGTTATCAAATGTCCTCTATTCTATGCACGCTGTATTTTTATTTTCAGACCGCTCAAAACCCATAAAATGATCCGTTCTGACCGTCATCAATGCTAACAATTTATTTTATTTCGTATCTCCTAGTTCTAAATTCATGAAATTCGAGAACCAGACCAAACATTTCTCTCATCACGTTAAAGTGGGTCCATGTTTCACTCGCCCTGCTTATCGAGATGGTAGGCGCAAAACAGCTGTAAAGGTAACTCGTAGCTTTTTTATTTCCCAGGTCTTTACCGTAGCTGATGAATCATGTTATCTCCTGATATTCGGAGTCCCATCACTGGATCTGGAGCACCCTTTAAAGGAGAAGTGCAAACAGTATGGGAATGTCCAAAGTTTGGTGAAAATTATTGATTATCCAAACAAAGAAACATTCACTGATGTTTTTGTCGTAAAATATGATAATCTCAAAGCCGCAAGGTGTGAACGTATTCCTTTTACATATTTGTGAGAATTAAACTTGACAACTCACTTTTTTTCGTAGAGAAAATTCATGAGATTTTTCCTTAAATGTTATCTAGATATGCCAAGCGTTTATTAGATGATTCTTCTTTCTACGGAGGTTCTTTGCACGTCTGTTATGCACCTGAATATGAAACTGTGGCTGAATGTCGTTTGAAGCTGTATGAATGCAGGCATTTAAATGCAAGAATTTCCAGGAAAGTGGGTAAGACTATCGGATAAACTCAAACTCCACACTGGTTATTATTTTAAACCGCTGGACGTTTTTCACTTGTCTGTAGTGGTTGGTATAATAAGTTTTAATAAGATACTTTTAGGGTTACTTGGTTGTTAACGAGTGGTTGGTGTGAAGAGACAAATAGAAATAATCCGTTGGATTTTATCAAATGAAGTGTAGATATCTTAAATCTTTAGTCAGGGTTAACAATAATATTTGATTTTCATTACTAAAAAAATCCATAACATTTGAACATATGATTCGGTGAATTAACTTGGTGTGCTATTAAAATCTATTTCTATGCCTGGATTTTCCGTTTGTTTTTGTTAATTAAGGTCAAGAGAAGTCGTTTAGAAATCCAATAAACGTCAGGATTATCAAGGGGTAAAATATAAATGTAAACAATCGGTTGGCTAGAAATTATAAAATAGTATATGGTAATGTAACGAAGAATAACTAGTGCTACTAAGTAAAATCCCGAGTAATGTAAAGCCGTGCACCTATTTCGAGTCTTTTTATTGCCAATGTCTTGTAATTGCATATGCTTTTACATGCCGTTCGGTTCAATGGCTATATGTTCTGTTACTACAGGTTTAGGTCTCAAAACTGCTTTCACACAATACACATACGAGTCAACTTAATTATTAGACAACTGTATTGTTCTACATATTTAGTCCTTAAATTATAATTATGCTTAAAGTCACTTTCGCAATAGAAAATGTGCACTTGCAATTTTTTGTTGCAACATATACAGATGGTGATTTTTGAAGTCACCTCTTTTTCTTCTCATACATTTTAGTCGGTCCTCATTGTTTTATAATATGATTCATGTGCTAAGAATAGCTAACTGCTAGATAAAGCTATTTTGGCATATTTTTTCTTACTAAATCATCAATTTAGATTCACAGAAAAAATTCATCTAACTGTTCGTCGTCTAATTTATGGTTCATCCGTGACTATAAACCGTCGGTTAACTAGTACTTATCGTATAGTAGGCACTATTCAAATTGTTCAGTCTTCTATACGAGGTTATGCAACGATTTTGCGTATTCCTGCTTGCTCATATAAGATTATCCAGCAACTAAGTTGTACATTTTTCAGTATTTTTCATTTCAGTGAATTATTTTTTACTAAGACTTACTTTTGCTTGATATTACCTTTAAGTTAAATATACTATTTATAGTCACACTTTGTTGCTATTGAACTGGTTGATGTTGGGCTTTTTATTTACAGTTGACCGATAATTATTATATGATGTGAAAGGCTTCTTGTTAAGTTGTCAAATACTAGTAATCTCGAAGGGTGTGTTTAAAATAAACTGCGTATTACTTAATGTCTTTCTGTACATTATTTTTATGCAGAACATGAGTATCTTCAGAAATTCTCTACTAAATGTCAAACATCAGATCCGGATTCTTCGGTTCTTCCGTCACCATCTGTATCATCAACATCAGTAACATCTGATTTGTCAGAATCTATAAAATCAGAAATACCAACTAATCGGGATATAACTGTTCTACCGGTTTCGCAACAAAACACAATGCATTCTAATGAGTCCGCTACCTATCAGTCATATGACGCTCTAGATGACTCTCGGCTTTATTGGAGGAAACTTGGAATTACATTATTTGACAAACATCAAACAGCCTGTAATTTCAGTGCTTCTTGTTCTACTACTACTGCTACTACTACTACTACCACCAATTATCCATCCATTTCTACACCTTGTGATTTATCAGTTGCCCCAAAGTGAGTGGATTGCACACTATAGGTTTTACTGTGTTTTTGCTACATTTTTCTTTATCATCTTAGCAGCAGTAACTTTTAATTTTTTAATGAGAATACTCATTTTCGTTATAGTTTCACGACAAGAGTAAAATGATCATTTTTTTTATGGTCGGATTTTCCCTCCTTGGTTTCATTATATAACTGTCAGTAACCATTCAATATAACTACCCCATTTTAAATCTAATAAACTTAACATTGCTGATGAAAATATTACATTAACACAGATACGGATCAGGTTGTTATTAGGTGAGATATTATTTCCTGATTCTAATTTCATCATAACTGTTAGGATGTGCAGAAAAATATACCAATAATTATCATGTTAAGTCTAATGGTGTCCTTGGACGTTAAATGGACATTTCCTATTGGTCAATGTTTACTTCACTTGTTAAATATTGTACAAATGTTGTTTTCTATTTTTATGGTACGATGTGATTTGTTTGATTGGTATATAAACAGAGTATGTTTGATTTATAACGATTCATATCTCAGAGGTTGAGACTTGCTTTCTGGACTCAACTCGCTGGGCTAGACAGCGAAGCAGGGCCAATCGGGACTCTGGGTCGTTCGTGCGTGTTTTACGTGTCATTGATCCGATCGATTAATACGCTGCGCATCAAATCTGCAGTCCACACGTTACGACAATAACTCACCACTTCTTAAATCAGAAAGCATACCATTCAACTTCAGAGTTGATTACATGGAGTTACCACAGAGCATTCAAATGATCATCCTGATCATACGTTGCTAGTTGGTAAACATCTTTGTCCAGGCTTCACAATCAGAATAGAACTTCGCTTACAACCAAATAAACGTCTTGTCGATCCTAACGTTTCTGGTGCTTGCTTATCTTGCTTCAACTTCCATTGTGCGAAAATATCTCTCCTGCTATGTTTTAGAGGGTCTCTACCAAAGATATGTGCAACTACAAAATTATTTTCAGTTTAAAACTTTAAATGCTTGATATTCATATTGTTCTGAGATGCGGAGTTCGATTTGATACTGACACACAATCTTCCTTGACACGGGCCCAAATAAAAAGACTAAAAATGGAGAAGTTTATTGAGTAAACCGAATTGGGAATGTGTGTATACTTTTTATATATATGTAAAAGCCATCTCTTGGTCAATCACATGCACTTATCATCTGAAAATTTCTGGGCTCGTAAGGTATTGGATGTCATATACTCCTCAAATCTAATACCCACTTTATAAGTATGGCAAATAATCTGTACTTACCTACTTGTTTACACATGTTACCCCTTATGGAAAAGCATAGACCACCCACCAGGATTCTCCGACCAACTCTGTCCTGAAATTTCTAGTTGTTTCCAACTATTATCCATTCTTTTGATGTCTGCCTCCAATTCCCGAAGCAATTTGTCCCTTGGTCTTCCTCTTTTCCTTTTGCTTTCGGAATTCCAAGTTAGGACTTACCTTGTGGTGCAGTTTGGTGGTTTCCGCAATATATTTCCTACATACCTGAAGCGTCTTTTACTAACTTCCTCTTCAGCTGGAGGTTGGTTTGTTGTCTGCCATGGTAAACTGTTATTGATGGGTTTCGGCCAACGGATAATGAGTCTTACGCAGATAACTGTTCATAAGTACCTGTACTTTTTTATGATGGTTGTAGTAGTTCTGTAAGTTTCAGCTCAGTACAATAGAACTATCTTGACATTTTCATTGAAGATTCTGATTTTCATTTTGTCTGTACATTATCCCACATCAAAAAATGGTTGTATATTTGTCTTTTTGTCTATTGTGCGTTGAGAATATATATATCTTGAAATCGTAAAAAATAGTCATATGATCTGATACATAAGTAGCAAACCAAAGGATCTAATGCTCTCTTGCAAATTAGGTAGATGTAAACTAGTTTCTGAAAATACGTTATGATAGGAACCGATTTAGAGTGGGATCAAAGATTAATCCTATGTGATAATCGCTGAGTCTAACATTCGACTGTATTTCGACAAGTCCAATCACTAATTTTCTCAGTGTGTTATACTCCACTATATTCTAGTAATCATTTCATGCTGTTTTAACACTTGTTCAGCGTAAAATCCGTTTTGAGCTATGATTATTCAAATTTAATTATTGATCACTGGAAAAGAAATCTGTATGTAATGAATGCTGTTTTCCCATAAGATGTCTTTTTATTATCTGGGGTCTGGGTTAAAAATATTGCGGGTGCTAAGTAACCGCGTTTACTACCGCGGCAATATCATCAAATAATTTAACTAAGTGCAGATTACAGTAGCAATAAATCCTCTTCCTACCCGAGATACCACGTACTTTGATGCAGATTACAAATAAGCATGAAAGCTTCACTCATGACCTTTAACTGAATAAATGTAGCATTTCATATTTTACCTTGTATGGAGTAGTTAGAGTATTTGTAATTTATTTGTTAACTTGTTACCTTTCCTATCTTTGTTTTTGTTTAGACGTTCAATACCCCTTTCTGTCCAACAGGCTTTAAGTTGTCGACCATACTTGGAGAATATTTCGAAACCTAATACATCGTTGTTAGTCAGCAAGGTATCCTCTGACACTAACAAAACAGTGAAGCACTACTCATCTAACTCCTTAATCCCACGCGTTATAATTAGTAAAGAATATAGAAAAAAACACTCAACAAACTCAGAAGCTCTTCCACAAGTATCAAAGTCAACAGCCCCTATTTTTCATTATTCTTCGATACAAGCGTTTGACACCTATATTAACGAATTTTTTCCATTTCTACTCAGAAGAATGACCTACTTAAGCGAATGATTTAAAGCATGAGAACAGTACAGCAGACGTATTGATTCGTTTTCAGGTGTACGACGGCAATAAAATACATCCTAGATTTATGAATAGAATACACTTCTTGTAGAAGAGATAACTACCTCATAATTTGTTACCATTTTGTATAAAATAAAATCCTCTGCTTTGATATCTGGTTCGATTGGCTAAAATTAATCAGTAACTGTTATACACATTGATAAGCTTACTAACATTCTTTGTACTGAGAAACGGAAACATTTTACGGTCAGCACTTGATTTATACCATCCTATATGCGGATTCTGAAAAACATATTGCTTTTATGTGATTATTTACTTACTACAGCAATAGTTACTTCTGGACATCGTTGATCTTTTACTTGTTCATAAGGTATAGAAAAATGACGCGAAAAGGAAGAGGCTAGTTTATATGAAAAGTTAAAAAGCTTAATAACTAACCATTTAGTGGAGTAACAACTGTTGCTTCCATATTATATTAGAGATTATCACTGTCATAAAGATATCAGAGCCTTTAAATGAAAAGTATCGATAAAATAAATTATTCATCTAAGATAAATTTTATGAAAATTAAATCAGTTATTTCATCCAAAAATATAGAATATGAAGATAATCAGTGAAAGGTTTCAGTAAGACATTCGTTACAAGTGAAGTCATGTTCCGGCACTTTTAACGGTTAGCAATAAATAAAATCTATTTCAATGAACAGAACTACCTATATACAATACGAGCCTGTGATTGTTTTCATGCACCTCTAAATGCTCAACTTCGTACATTTACATTGCAAAACAAGTTACACATATACACGTAATCGATGGCCAATCACTGGCTGTTTATCCCTCCAAAAAAGGTATATAAAATAGACCAAGACACGCACAAAACAATGAAAGATAATTTTGTGATGAGGCAGGATAGGGGAAGGGAATTACAAAGAGGTATAATAACTGAGGGAAGATATATTTCAAACTCAAAAACAACAGAGACCGGTTACGTTTCTTTTAAAGTAACATCCTACCGTTCAGAAAATACAAGACAATTGCAGAATAGTAACCATACTGAGATGGTGGAGAAGATTTGTAGCTCAGGTGGATGATTTTGGTGGAGTTTTGTTCTCTGAGCTGGATGGTTTGGTCGTGGAGCTTTCATCGTTCTTCTGAACGACATCATCAGCACAAACTTCAAATAGAAGTGAAGTGTTAGAATTTCTCCATATGTGTTTCACAGCTTGTTCTGTGCACCTCGATGTTGATTGGTTCTTGTTGACCTTAAATTTATCATTGTTTACTTCTTTGTTTTGGTTGTGTCTTCCATTGGTTTGATTTTCGTTCCTATATTTATGCATGATTTTTCTGATTGGTTGATAAATTGGATTGATTTCAATATGTTTGTTGATTGCTGATTGACCTGAGTGCCACGGTAATTATCAAACCTCATCATCCAAACTACTTTTTCATATTTCTTGTATCAAACTTCTTTTAGCTCCAACACCCTTACTTGAAATTAGTGCACGCGACTCGAGATTATAGTATTGGAGTCAATTGCGATCAAACATTATTATAAAATCTTAATCCTGAGGTAGTTTCACATACATATTCGGCAGAACTCATACAGCTGCGATTAAATAGCATAAATCCCATAATTGGCTAAAACTAATCTCGAATTATCACCTTAGAAAACGATTGGCAGTTCTAAAAAGGTGAGTTGGAATTTCTGACTGAATACAAAGCTACAAAAGTATGTCGAGACTTTTTTCTATCAGAAATCGCCCAGGACACAGTTCGATATAGAATGATGGTGGGTGGCCTATGCTCCTCCACGAAGGGTGATAGGCGTAAGTTTCTATCAGAAAGGTAGTTAACACTGCGTTTTAAAAACGATCTCTAAAACTCTAGCAAAGTGAATGTTATGAAGCCTAAGACTCCGCATATAGTCTACGGATGTAAACTCTTAAGTTCTTGTGACAGCTCTCTGCTTATAATTAAGCACCAACCCAAGCATGGAAGACCATAAAGTGTCATGGAACGTTAAAATAATGGCAGTTGTATAAAGTCGGGTATAAATCCACCTAAGACACTAAACACCTTAGCGCCGACCAAGTCAACTAATAACTGTGTTATGCACTATACAAACACAAAGACTTAATGGGACTTACGCTTACCTTTGTTTTCAAAACACATGCAAGCTAGTTATTATAGATGGCACATCCCCAATTTACGAAGTTCCCTTCGTTTCAGAATTTAGGTAAACTAACCACCAGTCTAGAATCTGCAGAATTCTGAATCATGGGTTAATAAACGGTGCTTTGTTTAGGATAAAAAGATAATTCATACAAGTTAAAAGTAGGCTAGTATATTTCATAATCTTGGAGCTTACAAAGCTGTACATCTTTGATGGACAAATGATGCAATGCTACGAAAAAGGTCGGAAAATATGATAGCAGTTATTTTTTATCATATGGCAAACGTAATACTAACAACAAACAGATATTTCAAAACATCTAGTTTCCATATGTACTAAACAACCTGAGATCTTCAAACTTACATCTACCATATCAAATACAAATATAAATTACAATGAGGCAAATCAATGCAGATATAATATACTGTTGATGAAAACACAAATGTAATCAACAACTCATACTACACGAGGATTAGTAGCGCATACGTCTAATATTGCGCAGCTTCGGAATACAGTATCCTGCAAATCCGGTATTTTTGTGACAAACTAATACACAGTCTTTAGTCTTCAGTAATAAGGATGGTAGGTTGATGAACCTGTATTAATCCTGACACATTGCTTTCCAGTGAAGGTCCAGCTTCTCCTTGGAAGTATTCATTGATAGGGCTGATACCACTTGTTCGAGTAAGGCGTTCCAATGATTGACTACTCGATGAGAAAAACGCGACCCCACTTTAAGTTTATTAGATCGTGGTTTATGAACCTTCTTGCTATGACCTCAGAGATTATTAGTGCTGGAGGGAGCAAAAATATAAGACATATTAACACCCAAATCATAGTTAAAGATACGAAATGCTAGTATAAGGTCACCTCGTGTCCTACGATACGACAAGGGGAAAAGATTTAGGCGTTTTAAACGCTCATCGTAAGGGAGTCTAGAAAGACCCTTCACTAATTTCGCTCTCATACGCTGGACACGCTCAAGGGAGTTAGTATCCTTTATCAGACATGGGCTAGCTGCTTGGATATAGTACTCTAAATGTGGTTTAACATATATGGGATATAAAATTCGAAACGTTTCCTCGTCAAAAGATTTGAACGCTCGGCGAAGTGACCATAACGCACGAAAATCTTTGACAGCGGCTCCTTTGCAATGGGCAGTTGTTTTTAAATCATGACTTAATACTACTCCTAAGTCTTTATGCTCCTGAACGCATGGAACAGGTTTACACTCAATAGTGTAATGGTAACTATTACCGTGACCGATGTGCATTAGCACACTCTTCCTAGCATTTATTTCTAGGCCCCACTTTCGAGTCTATCTAACTAAATCGGCTAAGTCAGCTTGAAGATCCAGATGATCAGCCGCACTTTTTATTGTTCTCCAGATTTTTACATCATCCGCAAACAATAATGTCGACGACCTAAGTAACAGCGGTAACTCGTTAACGTAGAGAAGGAAGAAGAGAGGGCCAGTTAACTTCTGTGAGATCGCTACTTTGTGTTACTGTGGGATGTAACTAAATAAATTCCCAAGATAAATAGTTTTGTAGGTCATTGATGTTGACTTTGACTGTTGTAGCATCAGCAACAGAGGCGTTATGATAATCCGTGCTGCGCAATTCCTACGACACGTAATCATCTTAGATCGCATATACCCTGATACATCGACCTTTGCTCAGACATATATCAATATCTTTTTATTATGAACTTCTGCTCTGATATTTCATCCAGTAGAGCTGTCACACATAGCTGTTGTACATCTTGGATATTAGTGATTTAATGTGTGTCAGGTTCGTAAGTTTTCTGGAACCATCAAATACCACATTTTCAGGAGAAAGATTTGTTGGTTTCAATGTAAAAATCATCAAGCCTGGGTGTAATTGATCAGAGAGAAGACAGATGTCAGAAGTAAACTAACAACATACATTAACAAATTATTGGAATATCATAAAAACGGAGATGTCAAAGATTGAAGTGGGTACACAGGGATTAATGACAGTGATCCTATTATTGATGGTGATTCTAATCACTTATCGGGCGCAGTTATTGCGGCTGAAATACGGTAAGATATGGGGAATTACGTGGTTATCAGGCTTTCGTCAGGATCTGCTTAATAGCAGAGCCATTGTGGTTCGTGACACCTTTTGAGACAAACAAGTTGAGTAATCATGGATGGGACAGATGAAACACAAGTAAACACCCTACCTACTTACTTACTGACGCCTTTTACTCCTTTTAGGGGAGCATAGGCCTCTAACCATTATTCTCCATCCAACCTATGCAATCCTTTTCATGTTTGCTTCCGATTACGGACGTGGTGTCTTCTTCGGTCTTATTCTTTTCCGTTTCCCTTCAAGATTCCAAGTTCGTTTTTGCTTCATGATGCAGGTTGGTGATTTTTTTAATAAATCTCCTGTTCAACTGCATTTTCTTTTCATAATTTCCTCCTCAACTGGAACTTGATTTGCTGATGGTTTCCGGCCAACAAAAATTTAGTATCTTGCACAGTCAACTGCTTATAGAGACCTGTACGTTTTTGATGATGGTTGTGACAGTTCTTCAAGTTTCGGCTCTGTACAGTAGGACTGTCTTAACGTTCATGTTGAAGATCCAGACTTTGATATTGGCTGATAGTTATTTTGAGTTCTATGTGTTCCTCAACTGTAGGAATGCTATCCTTGCTTTGTTAATCCTTTCTTTTATGTCTGTGCCGAAGCCTCCTTGTTTTTTAATAATGCCGTGCAGCTATGTGAAAGATTCCACTCCTTCCAGAGTTTACCTATCGAGTGTGATTGGTTTAGAAGTAAACCTTTAGTTTTCAATCAAAATTCTGAGTGATGACTCAAGATCACGTTTTACGTTAAGTCTTGTAGGAATTCGAAGTACTATAACGAAATATTAATTATATAAGCAAATCTTAAACATCGATTGATTATACACCATATCTGCCACACGTTGCTTGTCCGTTTGTTTCTGTAATATTGTTTGGGTCTACTTCAACTGCACTAGCACCTCTCAGGTGTTTAGCATTCGGATTTTTTCGTCGGTCTGAAGTTCAGGGCCGTCTATAAAGTCATTAACAAGGGAATCGTTGGAATTCGACTGACGATCTCGTGAAGCTGTAAAGAAATGTAAGCATGCAACATCAGTAAGCCGTATGTCCAACTCTTTCTGTTACGTGAATTCCATTATGCGTTACCGATGCTGGTGATCAGTTATAATATAGAATGTTACACCAAACAACTATTTGTGCAGTCGTTTTGGTATAAAGACATACTTGCTCTGTTTTATCTAAATGTCTCGAAATAAAACAACAGGTTTGCCATTCTGCTCTGAAACACCACCTGACACCAGTGAATGTTTATCACTAGTGAAGATAATTTTTCCAGCTGTCGTTTAAGGTCTGAAAAAGCAACGCTATTCAAAAACTATTTCATGTCGTATCCTCACGTTGTTATTCTCGTCGAGACTGTTTACCAGAAATCAAGTCAAAACACGGAGATAACAATTGTATAAAGCTAGGAGTAAACGTGGAATAAAATTGAAGAGCAACAATTCATAACCTGAGTGCAGAGATATTCGTAGGTGGCGTTGCTTGAATCGATAGAGCTAGATGACTAATATGAGATTTACAACCCTTAGTATCTACGGCATAGTCAAGACAATTGATGGAATTAGTTTGAAACTGACACATTCACGGCCATAGTTGTGTCACGAAAGCGTCTGATCAACCTTAAAAAACGTTCATTATGGATCTTAATATTATTAGCATGAACTGCGATATCAAGCTGATACGATTCAACACCATCAAGGCCGGTGATAATCTGATATGCAAGCTTCTGAAATATCACAGACGAGCGTTTGATGCGAACGGTAAGGATTTGTGTCTGAACACACCGAATGATGTTTTAATAGTCGTTAGTTCACCAAATATTCTTTCTAGTTTAATTTGCAAATACTCATGTTTCAGGTCTATTTTAGAAAAATAACTTGACCCTCATAATTTATATGGGGCATCTCTAGTTTCTTCAGTGACACAGCTCTGTTGCGATAGCGGAAGAGTTTGTGTCCGGCGATAGTCACTACAACTTGCAGATGTTTTTCCATCCGCCTTTAAATGAGTCACAATGAGGTTAGCCCGGTTTACTCCAGTTGGCCAACCAGACGGCTCAAATAGATTTTTTAACCCTTTATCGACTCATTCCACTTAACTCGATCTTCAAACTCCCCCTAAACGATAGCGAAATTGGTCATTGCTCCAAGAAGATAGGTATCCTCTTTACCTCTAAGTGTGTTAGTTGAATTTTGAAACCTCCCACAGATTTTTAGAAATTGAAGTGATTACCCAGCTCTCTATCTCAGTCTTCCGGAACGAAAATGTTCATTGCTACACTAAAATCCAAGACTTACCAGATATTTCGCATTACATATAGATTTTATAATGTGAAACTCTCTCAGAAGACTGGGATTATCATTGGAGTAAATCTCTCGATCAGATGAGTGTAAACATTTTGTTTATTAAGTGTCTATTTAACAAAAACTGCCTTATTAACAGTATTGGCTCAATTGATTGATAAATCAAGAATTTTTCTTTACCAATCTCATCGCTACTCTTTTCTATCTTGTACATTGCTCAATTTCAGAAATTGTGCGCCGTCTCGACGTTTGAATTTCACTGTTTTTGGTTACTCAGTAACAAGTGACTTGTTACTTCAAAAATGGATGGTTATCCTTGAGACTAAACTGAACAAAATTTTAGTGAGAGGATCACTTAATACTAGTACTGTGTGGGTAAGATATCTTGGTTGCATGCTAGTACATGAAAAAACGAGTTGTATTAAGTCACTGAAATTTCTCATTTGAATTAGCCTTAACGTTTTTTTCGTGCACAACCACGGCCATCACATCTTGAGTCACTGAGCTACGAAATGTTAGAAAATCTTTAAAAATCAACCTTTCATTGGGGCGTTAGAAGTGCATTATTTTTAATAACAAGAATTGCTTTTGTTGGTACACCACTTCGTCTTTCAAACAGTTGAATTTTTATGTTAACTACGGTAAGTCTGTATACAAGGTACAAATCCGAACCATCATATATCTGATAAGTATTGTGTAGTCTGTAGTGATGTAGTGTTGCATTAAAAACAACTAATTCAATAGATTCTCTGCGGTAACATTTTTAATTGTGCAACCCTTCTCTATCTACCTTTACGCATGTCATTATAAAATGTATACACTCCAAATATAAATTTGTATGTCCCACTAGTTAAATCAAGAATCTCACTACTAAGGACAAGTCACACCACGCAAACGTTCAGACGAAAGGGAAGATATGAAATATGGAGAGGTCGAAATAAAAGCATCATTAGTAGTGGGAACGAGACAGAATATAGCCAGAACTAAAATAATTACACCAAGGGGAAATTACGAGTAGGCATTACTGCGACCAAAATACTGCTGTGTACCAAAATATAGACCAACGGATAGTTACTATGTTGGGATAAAAAAGCCCGGATTAGTATTAATTGTGAATCTGGGAGCCTAAAAGACAGTTATGTGAATCGCATTAAGAGAAATCTTTAGGACAAGTTCCTGTGGTCAATGTATATTTTTAATATGGACACAAAACCTCATTTGGGAGGAGCTGTGATTTGTTTAGTTACGACCTTTTCTAGCCTCACTTCACGTACGAGTAGGCGGCATAGCTCGTAGTGTTGGCTCCGTGAGGATCATTTAATTATCGTTTAAGCAAGGTATTCAGCAATATGTTTATTCTGATATGAGTTATTTTATCTCCAACTTTACCGTTTTTCGTTTTACCCGTCAGGCATAGTAAAATATCAAGTTATTTTTTAAAACGTGATTATAATAGGCTGTCATAATGATTGCATCAAAAAGGCAGCTACGGTTGGTACGATGTTTAAAGCCACTGGTGATACTCATTTTCTAATTCAGGAAGCTTGCTATGCATCACAGGTTTCGGTATCGTGTATCCAGTCCCTTTAGTATTCATATCAGTCATCTCTATGAACAATGAAAAATTGGTCCGTTTTTTAACTTAGTGATCCTAATTGACTTCTAAATACTGAATAGATGTGTAATGCAAAACGAAGGGCACTAGTAGCTGAATAAATTCACAAAAAGCTAGGTACGATCTAGTTTTTCAACTTGAAACGTCTTATGGTTTGTTATCAAATGTCCTCTATTCTATGCACGCTGTATTTTTATTTTCAGACCGCTCAAAACCCATAAAATGATCCGTTCTGACCGTCATCAATGCTAACAATTTATTTTATTTCGTATCTCCTAGTTCTAAATTCATGAAATTCGAGAACCAGACCAAACATTTCTCTCATCACGTTAAAGTGGGTCCATGTTTCACTCGCCCTGCTTATCGAGATGGTAGGCGCAAAACAGCTGTAAAGGTAACTCGTAGCTTTTTTATTTCCCAGGTCTTTACCGTAGCTGATGAATCATGTTATCTCCTGATATTCGGAGTCCCATCACTGGATCTGGAGCACCCTTTAAAGGAGAAGTGCAAACAGTATGGGAATGTCCAAAGTTTGGTGAAAATTATTGATTATCCAAACAAAGAAACATTCACTGATGTTTTTGTCGTAAAATATGATAATCTCAAAGCCGCAAGGTGTGAACGTATTCCTTTTACATATTTGTGAGAATTAAACTTGACAACTCACTTTTTTTCGTAGAGAAAATTCATGAGATTTTTCCTTAAATGTTATCTAGATATGCCAAGCGTTTATTAGATGATTCTTCTTTCTACGGAGGTTCTTTGCACGTCTGTTATGCACCTGAATATGAAACTGTGGCTGAATGTCGTTTGAAGCTGTATGAATGCAGGCATTTAAATGCAAGAATTTCCAGGAAAGTGGGTAAGACTATCGGATAAACTCAAACTCCACACTGGTTATTATTTTAAACCGCTGGACGTTTTTCACTTGTCTGTAGTGGTTGGTATAATAAGTTTTAATAAGATACTTTTAGGGTTACTTGGTTGTTAACGAGTGGTTGGTGTGAAGAGACAAATAGAAATAATCCGTTGGATTTTATCAAATGAAGTGTAGATATCTTAAATCTTTAGTCAGGGTTAACAATAATATTTGATTTTCATTACTAAAAAAATCCATAACATTTGAACATATGATTCGGTGAATTAACTTGGTGTGCTATTAAAATCTATTTCTATGCCTGGATTTTCCGTTTGTTTTTGTTAATTAAGGTCAAGAGAAGTCGTTTAGAAATCCAATAAACGTCAGGATTATCAAGGGGTAAAATATAAATGTAAACAATCGGTTGGCTAGAAATTATAAAATAGTATATGGTAATGTAACGAAGAATAACTAGTGCTACTAAGTAAAATCCCGAGTAATGTAAAGCCGTGCACCTATTTCGAGTCTTTTTATTGCCAATGTCTTGTAATTGCATATGCTTTTACATGCCGTTCGGTTCAATGGCTATATGTTCTGTTACTACAGGTTTAGGTCTCAAAACTGCTTTCACACAATACACATACGAGTCAACTTAATTATTAGACAACTGTATTGTTCTACATATTTAGTCCTTAAATTATAATTATGCTTAAAGTCACTTTCGCAATAGAAAATGTGTACTTGCAATTTTTTGTTGCAACATATACAGATGGTGATTTTTGAAGTCACCTCTTTTTCTTCTCATACATTTTAGTCGGTCCTCATTGTTTTATAATATGATTCATGTGCTAAGAATAGCTAACTGCTAGATAAAGCTATTTTGGCATATTTTTTCTTACTAAATCATCAATTTAGATTCACAGAAAAAATTCATCTAACTGTTCGTCGTCTAATTTATGGTTCATCCGTGACTATAAACCGTCGGTTAACTAGTACTTATCGTATAGTAGGCACTATTCAAATTGTTCAGTCTTCTATACGAGGTTATGCAACGATTTTGCGTATTCCTGCTTGCTCATATAAGATTATCCAGCAACTAAGTTGTACATTTTTCAGTATTTTTCATTTCAGTGAATTATTTTTTAGAATATTAAAGATTCCCATTGTGAAAATTAGAACAACACATATAAGCGAACAATTGTTTTCAATTAGATCGTCATCAGGCTTTACTCTAATATACATGAATATTTATACGAAAATGTTAAACCAATCAAGGCAATATGAGTCAATAATCACAATGAAATAAAATAAGTCTCTAGGTAAAAGTACAAGTTGATAGTAGGAAGACAGGTGAACTGATAATAGTGAGAATAATAAAATACAATAACAAAACTCTTATCAATAATTAAACGTTGGAAATAGAAGGTCAAATAAACATGGGTAAATAGACTAGGAATAGTAATCACAAAACATTAAAATCATTACGTAATAAGATGTGTGTAAATAATTAGATAGTGAAGAATACAAAGAGGCGGAAAATTACAATTACAGCCAATCTGGCGTTGACCTTCTCTTGTCGACCAGCGATGTCTACTCAAACGAAGGATAAGTTACCTGAGTTGGCCTCTTCCATGTGCATTTACAAATTCAGCTGCTCCTGTGGAGATAGCTATATAGGGCGTACTACCAGGCAACTTAACCAACGAATGAGTGAACATCTACCAACTTGGTACATAAAGGGCCAGAGGAAATCTATTCGGAGTTCTATATTGGCACATCTTATTGATAGCGGTCATGCAGTAGATAAATCGAAATCTTTTCGAGTTATCTATCGTATACCTCCATCATTTCCCGACGGAGTCCGTTCCCGTCTCCTATATATAGCTGAAGCCATTGGAATTCGTACATATAACCCCAATTTATGTGTACAGAAGAAATACGTGACCCCCCTATCCCTTCCATGGCCAGTTATAACTTAACTAACAATTCTTTTTATTTATTTATTTTATTTTATTATTATCCTTATTCATTTTATTTTATTTGTGTTATCATTGACCTTATTTTCACATCCATTATTTGTTTGTAATTTTCCGCCTCTTTGTATTCTTCACTATCTAATTATTTACACACATCTTATTACGTAATGATTTTAATGTTTTGTGATTACTATTCCTAGTCTATTTACCCATGTTTATTTGACCTTCTATTTCCAACGTTTAATTATTGATAAGAGTTTTGTTATTGTATTTTATTATTCTCACTATTATCAGTTCACCTGTCTTCCTACTATCAACTTGTACTTTTACCTAGAGACTTATTTTATTTCATTGTGATTATTGACTCATATTGCCTTGATTGGTTTAACATTTTCGTATAAATATTCATGTATATTAGAGTAAAGCCTGATGACGATCTAATTGAAAACAATTGTTCGCTTATATGTGTTGTTCTAATTATTTTTTACTAAGACTTACTTTTGCTTGATATTACCTTTAAGTTAAATATACTATTTATAGTCACACTTTGTTGCTATTGAACTGGTTGATGTTGGGCTTTTTATTTACAGTTGACCGATAATTATTATATGATGTGAAAGGCTTCTTGTTAAGTTGTCAAATACTAGTAATCTCGAAGGGTGTGTTTAAAATAAACTGCGTATTACTTAATGTCTTTCTGTACATTATTTTTATGCAGAACATGAGTATCTTCAGAAATTCTCTACTAAATGTCAAACATCAGATCCGGATTCTTCGGTTCTTCCGTCACCATCTGTATCATCAACATCAGTAACATCTGATTTGTCAGAATCTATAAAATCAGAAATACCAACTAATCGGGATATAACTGTTCTACCGGTTTCGCAACAAAACACAATGCATTCTAATGAGTCCGCTACCTATCAGTCATATGACGCTCTAGATGACTCTCGGCTTTATTGGAGGAAACTTGGAATTACATTATTTGACAAACATCAAACAGCCTGTAATTTCAGTGCTTCTTGTTCTACTACTACTGCTACTACTACTACTACCACCAATTATCCATCCATTTCTACACCTTGTGATTTATCAGTTGCCCCAAAGTGAGTGGATTGCACACTATAGGTTTTACTGTGTTTTTGCTACATTTTTCTTTATCATCTTAGCAGCAGTAACTTTTAATTTTTTAATGAGAATACTCATTTTCGTTATAGTTTCACGACAAGAGTAAAATGATCATTTTTTTTATGGTCGGATTTTCCCTCCTTGGTTTCATTATATAACTGTCAGTAACCATTCAATATAACTACCCCATTTTAAATCTAATAAACTTAACATTGCTGATGAAAATATTACATTAACACAGATACGGATCAGGTTGTTATTAGGTGAGATATTATTTCCTGATTCTAATTTCATCATAACTGTTAGGATGTGCAGAAAAATATACCAATAATTATCATGTTAAGTCTAATGGTGTCCTTGGACGTTAAATGGACATTTCCTATTGGTCAATGTTTACTTCACTTGTTAAATATTGTACAAATGTTGTTTTCTATTTTTATGGTACGATGTGATTTGTTTGATTGGTATATAAACAGAGTATGTTTGATTTATAACGATTCATATCTCAGAGGTTGAGACTTGCTTTCTGGACTCAACTCGCTGGGCTAGACAGCGAAGCAGGGCCAATCGGGACTCTGGGTCGTTCGTGCGTGTTTTACGTGTCATTGATCCGATCGATTAATACGCTGCGCATCAAATCTGCAGTCCACACGTTACGACAATAACTCACCACTTCTTAAATCAGAAAGCATACCATTCAACTTCAGAGTTGATTACATGGAGTTACCACAGAGCATTCAAATGATCATCCTGATCATACGTTGCTAGTTGGTAAACATCTTTGTCCAGGCTTCACAATCAGAATAGAACTTCGCTTACAACCAAATAAACGTCTTGTCGATCCTAACGTTTCTGGTGCTTGCTTATCTTGCTTCAACTTCCATTGTGCGAAAATATCTCTCCTGCTATGTTTTAGAGGGTCTCTACCAAAGATATGTGCAACTACAAAATTATTTTCAGTTTAAAACTTTAAATGCTTGATATTCATATTGTTCTGAGATGCGGAGTTCGATTTGATACTGACACACAATCTTCCTTGACACGGGCCCAAATAAAAAGACTAAAAATGGAGAAGTTTATTGAGTAAACCGAATTGGGAATGTGTGTATACTTTTTATATATATGTAAAAGCCATCTCTTGGTCAATCACATGCACTTATCATCTGAAAATTTCTGGGCTCGTAAGGTATTGGATGTCATATACTCCTCAAATCTAATACCCACTTTATAAGTATGGCAAATAATCTGTACTTACCTACTTGTTTACACATGTTACCCCTTATGGAAAAGCATAGACCACCCACCAGGATTCTCCGACCAACTCTGTCCTGAAATTTCTAGTTGTTTCCAACTATTATCCATTCTTTTGATGTCTGCCTCCAATTCCCGAAGCAATTTGTCCCTTGGTCTTCCTCTTTTCCTTTTGCTTTCGGAATTCCAAGTTAGGACTTACCTTGTGGTGCAGTTTGGTGGTTTCCGCAATATATTTCCTACATACCTGAAGCGTCTTTTACTAACTTCCTCTTCAGCTGGAGGTTGGTTTGTTGTCTGCCATGGTAAACTGTTATTGATGGGTTTCGGCCAACGGATAATGAGTCTTACGCAGATAACTGTTCATAAGTACCTGTACTTTTTTATGATGGTTGTAGTAGTTCTGTAAGTTTCAGCTCAGTACAATAGAACTATCTTGACATTTTCATTGAAGATTCTGATTTTCATTTTGTCTGTACATTATCCCACATCAAAAAATGGTTGTATATTTGTCTTTTTGTCTATTGTGCGTTGAGAATATATATATCTTGAAATCGTAAAAAATAGTCATATGATCTGATACATAAGTAGCAAACCAAAGGATCTAATGCTCTCTTGCAAATTAGGTAGATGTAAACTAGTTTCTGAAAATACGTTATGATAGGAACCGATTTAGAGTGGGATCAAAGATTAATCCTATGTGATAATCGCTGAGTCTAACATTCGACTGTATTTCGACAAGTCCAATCACTAATTTTCTCAGTGTGTTATACTCCACTATATTCTAGTAATCATTTCATGCTGTTTTAACACTTGTTCAGCGTAAAATCCGTTTTGAGCTATGATTATTCAAATTTAATTATTGATCACTGGAAAAGAAATCTGTATGTAATGAATGCTGTTTTCCCATAAGATGTCTTTTTATTATCTGGGGTCTGGGTTAAAAATATTGCGGGTGCTAAGTAACCGCGTTTACTACCGCGGCAATATCATCAAATAATTTAACTAAGTGCAGATTACAGTAGCAATAAATCCTCTTCCTACCCGAGATACCACGTACTTTGATGCAGATTACAAATAAGCATGAAAGCTTCACTCATGACCTTTAACTGAATAAATGTAGCATTTCATATTTTACCTTGTATGGAGTAGTTAGAGTATTTGTAATTTATTTGTTAACTTGTTACCTTTCCTATCTTTGTTTTTGTTTAGACGTTCAATACCCCTTTCTGTCCAACAGGCTTTAAGTTGTCGACCATACTTGGAGAATATTTCGAAACCTAATACATCGTTGTTAGTCAGCAAGGTATCCTCTGACACTAACAAAACAGTGAAGCACTACTCATCTAACTCCTTAATCCCACGCGTTATAATTAGTAAAGAATATAGAAAAAAACACTCAACAAACTCAGAAGCTCTTCCACAAGTATCAAAGTCAACAGCCCCTATTTCTGTAGGTGAATTAAAACGCTTAGCCTATTCATTAGGTCCCAAACAAGGACCAAGTTTACCGTCAACACAAGATCAAAGGGAAAATATTGTTGATCGAACAAGGTTAGTCAGCGATTTTTAATACGACTGTAAGCTTCAAAAAGTGACATTAAGACAGGAGATTAAGAAACTTTGCTACTGCTGTTTTCGGGTTACTTCTTGTACTTTCACTAAAAGAAATCAATTCTACCTATTTTTACTGATTTCAGTTAATATTACCATCCATAATACAAGTTGGTCTCATATAAAGTGCTTAGATGATAGGTACGTTTTCCTGTACATTGATCGAAATGCCCTTCACATTTAATCACTAGAGGTTTGGTTTAAAATGCCATATTTGTAGCTGAATCATGCACATTCGAACGATTTTGTTCATATTCTGGTCTGCAGAGATGGATAGTGGCTAGCAGTGGAATCCAGGACGCGCGTTTCGTCCTGTTTGGGACACGTCAGCTGGATGTATCTGCATCTCAGAGTTGATGTTCACTCTGGGACTCGAACTCAGTACCGTTCGCTTCAAACGCCATCGCGTTATCCACTTAGCTACTGAGGACTCAGTTCACTTGTATACTATAGCTAATTTGTTGGATATCGATATTTCCCACGGTGTAAATATATATTTATTTTTCTGTGAAACGTTTTTCATGATTTTATGAGCGAAATAAAAGGAATGAATGCTGATTAATAGGCAATATCCAGTGATGCAAAGTAACAGTACTGACTACTAACGAGAAGGAATTATTGACGTAATCCCTCGACTGCTAGCTAGAAATATAAATTTCTTATGTCATAAAATGAAATGCTTATACACAAAATATTCACATAAAATAAACATGATAAATTGGAAGAATCAGTTTGCAGGTCACTCACTCCCTAATCACTTAAAATCTGATTGTTAGAACTAACTTTTGGGCATCATATCTCATTTTTAGAGACCGTGTCATATGTCATATTTATTTATTTACTTATAAGTGTATTTGAACTGATCAACTGAATTTATCTAGTTATTCAAGAGATATACCTCTCATTCTATATCTAACAACCAACAGCGTTTCACTTCTAATGGTTTTGGGGTTCTATTAGAACGAGAGCCTAGTTAGGGATCCTTGAGTTCTCAACATTGATATTATAGTCAGTAAGCTAATCTTATGCACAGAGGTAGACTTTATTATGCTTACTAGACTAAGCTTTCTAAAATTTATCTACACTTTAAGCAAAATTGTACCTTATATGTTAGGCGGTAATTATGTGTGCGCAGCATTGGTATAAACTCAGAAGACGGGCTTCAAAGGTTGAAATTTATCAGTTAAAGAATATACTGAATTTTATTCTAAATTATACATTGATAAGAAAAATTTATCATCTTGATAAATATATAGTCAAATATTAATCTTAAAGACTCAAAATTCCTCAGTTTCACTATAGTGTTAATGTATTCTGGTTTATTTAAACTGTACTAAGTATTACCAGTAGAAATAGTGTTAAAGGAAATCGTATCTCAAACATTTTTCTATTTTTTTCTTACTTCACTTCATTGATCACCCATGCGTGTGAGTAAAATCTTCACTTGTTATTACATTGCCTTTTATAATTAGGATTGTATTTCATCGTTCGAATTCCAAAAGACATTGTACACATCCTTCAGAATCTAGAGACAATTGAATATATGACACTCATTTTGTCGTTCATGATCTTCAGGTAAGTTCTGATATAATTTGTGCTGAAAGTAGTCGATAATCGGATTCCCCATATATTTTATTAACTGAATCGTCATTTATGCGTATGGTTGTTATAACTTGAGCTAAGACTTGAGGGACAGAACTCAATAATATGACTCGAAATGAAATTTCTTATGGTTGGACCCGAAATACAAAACAAGTACTGTTGTATACGAACATTGATTTGTTCATCCTAAATCAAAACATCGTTTAACAGAACACAACTTAAAACGAGTGTTACGTCTCGCGTTGTGTATTCCAATTATTTTTACGAAGTGGCTACTGGCTCCACACAAGACTGTGTTGACTAAAAAGGGAGTTCATAAGAGGATGGTAATCTATAGTAATCCAGATTTGAGGGATTTAGGGAACTGTATCAATCTGAAAGTTTGTCAGATGCTCGGAATTGAAATATGTAAATAAATTGGTCAAATAATCAGATTGTCAGAAAATACTTTTCCGGTCACCCATCACATTACGAGGTATTATATTATCGTAACGAATATGATGGAGTGCAGCTACTCTTTCAAATATGAAATGCGATTATCATGTCGGTATCTGATTGATTAGGCTATTCAGTTTAATGATACGGTCAGTCGAACTGGCTTATATGAGAGAGGGTTGGTTTTGTCTAGTGAATATGTGAAGCTCGATAAATGCTGAATACAACAGTATACAAACAACCGACTGGACTCGATACAACGAAATATATCATCCAGATGTTGAATAATCATCAAAATTTCTGGTTGATCATATACTTTCTGTGACATATTTCGTCTGCTTCTATCCAGTCCCTGGTGACCTGGGTCTCGTTTTAGAATTTCACTTTCATTTTGGATAACTCTGTATGTAGGATTACTTTGTACCAGCAGCACTCGTTTAAATGCTGTGATCGACTTTTCCATTTCGCTAAGCATGTCATCTTGAAGATACATAAAAAATATGAGACTTTCTTCAAGGTCCTGTAAGTTAGAACAGAATATACAAAAATCAATGTCACTGGGGTAGGTCTATGTTTACCGTTTGGTGCTTTTCGTGTACATCAGACGCAGATAGAATCGAAATTTGCTAGCTGAAATATTTTGTTAAAAATCATGTTAACATAATAAAATGAACGCGCCCACCGAAGAACGTTGCGTTTGAAATGAACGGGGTATAATACATAGTGTGTTTCTGGGAAATTGGTGGATGGGGCAATTTTTGTGACGGGATTTTCTTCAATTAGAAATCTCGGCCAAAACACTACATCGAACAAAAGCTAAAAGCGTGGAAATCATTTTGGAAGTTCTGACTAGGAATCTCAACACCACCGGTATCACCTTCATAGAGTCATTTAATGTGACAAACTCGTATAGCGATGTTCTCTCCCTGTTGCAATTTTATGTACCATCAGTATATGTGAAGTCCGAGAATCTGTGGGTTTCATTTTGCTGATCTGTTGTTTAAAAAAGCACCATTCAAAATCACCATATACATCACGATGCTTCTAAGCTTCATCCCCAAGATCAAGGATATTTTAATATAATGTTTCAAAACGACCTACTAACAAAAGTTTACAAAGTCTATCACAGCCGTTATCTTTTTGTTCGGTGATAGAAGGTAAAGAGACTGGAATAAAATGCCTTCTATAGAAAACTCGAAGTAGTACAAAATGAAATCCAAGAAAACATTATACTGAACAAAATCCTTCACTAGATTATTTACGTGACTTCATATTTGACCCCTTTCTAACAATTATAGAGCTACCCGGTGATCAACATTATGGTTTAAATGTAATTCAAGTTATAGAGGTTAGGTGATCGATAAATTAGTGGTTTTATGTGTCTTCAGTTACTCTCCATTAACTATGAGTTCTGAATAGAGGTGGACATACGTTTTGAAATTCATTGCTGATTCCTACTGAACGTTATGAAAAGTTTAGACATTAACTTTATTATCTGAATAGATTTTGAATCATACTAAGAACTATTTAATTATACAACTTGCTTAACTTATATGTAATCATTTTAAAAGGTATAATTAGTGAATATGCTGCGAATAATTAATTGGACCATCTTCAATGACAGTACTGAAGATTTAAAGAATTGAATGGGATTTATCTTGTGAATATTTGTTTCTGTTTTCTTTGAACTTACCTAGCACATATTTTGTTTTTCCTAATAAAATGATCAAATATAAGAGCATTAATATGTTGTTTGTTATTTGTTACTTAGATGATGAGAAAGGGGATTATTGAATAAGAATGTTATAAACATATGTTTTCTTTTGAAGTCACTTTGTTTGATGTTTCAAATGGTGATTATCATTACAGTCCATAATCTATCTATCGATTGATTATCAAATGTGTTTACATTCGCCTTCAACTAAAATAAATGTACCGTAACGTTAATCCGGCACAATATAGAGCAAGTGCCTGAAATTTAATCTCAATAAGTACCATCCTAAAAGTTTTATCATGTATGCCAATCTTATTGTTCAAGGTATGGTATTGTTTTGCAGAATTAATTTGTGTTAAACGAATTTAATGTCATTAGGTTCAAAGTTTGCAAGTTAATATCACTGAATCAGAATCAAAATGATTTTGATTTGTTCACATTTATAATTCAAAATTTATGACATGAATCACCAACAGATACCACAACATATTTCTACAAGATGAAGATCTCATGATACCTGAATCAGGGCCATATATACCATTCTATTATTGACCTACAATTTTTAGTTACAAACCTTCAAGATATTCGATTCCACTGAAGTTTCGAAGATCAGAAGTTTCATGTATGGTTATTGTTGATCAAACAAAACAGGTTGTTTACTAAAAATAATTTTAGGACCCTGGATGATCGGCATCATAAATGAATGATTACAGGCTGTAAACATCTATTTGAGTATCTTAACCAGACATAAAAGTTTTGAAATCCGATGTCTTTTAAACTATCAACAATTCATATTGTTTATTATAAGCATTCGTTTAATTAAACCATTACATCAAAGTAGTGATATAGTTGTCTCACTAGTGAAGCGTTGTCTAAGTGATTAAAGTACTCAACATTCAGTCGCTAAGCCTCGGGTTCAAACTTCTCTCCATCTAATTTAGTCTTGGGAACCGGATAGTATTTCTAACCTCAAAGTTAATTCCACGAATTTGCACCTGATGAGTCAATAAAAATGGTAGAAGTCAGTTTAATGATCAAGGTCCTCATTAATCAACATTATTACAGAAAAAATAATCCACTTGCCTGTATTCAATTGTTATAAAACATCGATAAATATTAGGAAAATTTCGGAGCTTGAAGGGAACCATAATAATATCATTACATAAAATTCATCAAATAGAGTATGAAATCTAAATTAATCACTTAGTAACAGTAAATGGATAAGTTTTTAAATGAAATTAGAGAGAGAAAAAAAAATCACAAATGTGTACTGTTTATCACAAATATTCTAATAACTAGTAAATGGTAAAATTAATTATTCACCATATGTTTCCAGACATTTAAACATCTGGTTGTTAAATTCAAATGACCTATTTACATGAAAACCAATACTAACTATTGAACATTAATCAACCTATGATTTTTCTTGTTGTTAACGATTCATTCATTAAAATGTTTCATTTTTCACAAAAGAAACACGAATCATTAATATTAAGATTATATAAAACGAATCTGTGCTGTACCAACTAAATTTTTCTTAATCAGTAAGAGATTTGGGAGGTTGCTGAGTTTTATTCAAATCGTGAACTGATCTAGATTATACCACCATTGAGAATTTGGATGCACTAGACGGCCGTTTCCCCCTAGTATAGGACTCAGCTTTGCGTATATATGACCTTGTGCACGGTACTCGAACCCAGGATCTTTGGTCCCGCACGCCAAAGCTTAACCTCTAGACCACTGAGTCGGCACCCGACTGTGTTAATGTTTAACTTCAATCAGCCCACGACATTGCGCAACCATCGTTCATTGTCTTCGGTAGGTAACTGCCTTACATCCAACATGGTTTATCTCCACTGTTCACGACATACATTTGTATGATTTATTTTGATATACTGTTAGACGATTCAATAATTTACACTTTTCGACGTTTCCATAGATCGTAAAAAACATAACACTATCTTTCGAATTGAATATTTTGAGATTAGTTACATTATAGCCGACAAAACGGAAGTGTTATGCTTATCTCTAATTTACGCCAGATATTCGAGGTTTATTAGTTATTCAACTAGATTTAGTCAAATAAATATTCAGCTGATAACAAGGTATTTAGTACAAGAAGTAGGCAGTTTTTGTATGCATCTGTCAATGTGGATCAGTGTCATCTATCATAGAACAGTACGTCACTATTATTGGAAGCAGTTACTGGTTTTAAGAAAAAAACATTTCTTTTTGTTGCACGCACATTTTTTAAAAGGAAGCTAGATGCATTTTTATTTGTTATCTGAACAGTCTGAGTATGTTTAACCAGAGGATAGGTTTTCTAAATAAAGTTAAAGGTCTGCTACTCGAACCCTTAACACTAACTTCCTTAGACTCCTCTTTCACATAAGCCCCGAATGTAGAGCGAAAGTGCTCAGCAAAAATAGGAGCTTTATTCTGAAGCCCGTTAATTTACAGAAAACAACCGTATTTATATGTTTACTATAATGTTCGACACCCAGAAACTTCTGGAAATGCGCTACATTTAGCGACAAAGTAAAGAACCATTCAATCAGATTGTGGCATTTAACCCATTAATTTTCGTGGCATATGCTGATTTAATGAAATATTCTCAGTCATTTCTCGACTCTTCAGGACCTTGTAGAATAATTCTTGAGAAATCCCAACAATTATGAAACTTGCTGCATTATACTTTGTAATTTAAGACAAAGAAGCTTAGATCAGCTGGAACTATCCGATATGATAATATATTTGTAATATCCCAATGAGTAGAAAATTGGATTTT